GGTGAACAGGGTCTCAGGAGAGGTGCACAGGGCCTCAGAAGGGGTGTGGAGGATCTTCGGAGGGGTATATATGGTGCCAGGATGGGTGTGGAGGATCTCAGGAGAGGTGAACAGGGTCTCGGGAGAGGTGCACAGGGTCTCAGGAGCGGTGCAGAGGATCTCAGGAGGGGTATGTATGGTGCCAGGATGGGTGTGGAGGATCTCAGGAGAGGTGCACAGGGTCTCAGGAGTGGTGCGGAGGATCTCAGGAGGCATGTGGAGTGTCTCAGGAGGGGGAGATGTGCAAACCGGTGGAAGCGCTGTAAACAGGCACCGCGTGGTTTCCAAGAAGGCTGCTGCGAGGTCCCCAGCAAGCATGGGACCTAAGGCAGCTGCTTTATTTAAAAAAATTAAAGCGCTGGCATCGGTTTTGGTATCAGAGAGTACTCGGGGAAAGGCCCAGTATCAGCATCGGTATTGATATTGGTGCATCCCTACAAGTTACTATTCTTAACTTTGCTGACCAATGTAAGGAACAGTAACGTGTCTTGTCCTATAACATAAATGATTGCTCAGTGTCATATACAATCACTGACACGGATGGCTGATTCAAGGCTCTGGAAGTCACTACCTTCAGTCTGCAAGGAAATGGCCACACACTGTCACACTGGCTGCTGCTCCGGTCCCTGAAGCCTCTCTGCTCCTCCACTGCAGTGATATCTCCCTCATCGTCCTCCCGTCCAATACACTGTATAGAACGTGATGACTCAAGAATCCTTCGACTGCTGCAGCGGAGGGGTAGAGAGGCTCCAGGGACCGGTCTAGGCACCAGCAGCGGAGGCGAGGTTCAGGTGAGTATTACTTTTTTTTTTCTTTTTAGCACACCAAAAAAAAAAAAAGTGCACTGAACCCTTGCAGCCCAGAGTTCTGCTGTAAAGTATAATTAAACCTAATTTTTATTTTTTTATTTTAGATAGCGTAGGGAATGGTTTAAGCCCTACAGGGATGCACCGATACTATTTTTTCCAGACTCAGTACGATTACCGATACTTTTCCTCACGTATTTGCCGATACCAATTACCGATACTTTTTTAGTGTCATGTGAGTTTTTTTTAAAACAATGCAGACTAATGATTTTAGGATAGGGGTGGAGCTCCAGGGCCCAGTCACAGCTGCAACCTCTGCGACCCTGGTAGTTCTGCCACTGACTCCAAGCTGTAGAGGGACTAGAAATCCCAGCAATACATTATACAGCAATACAGAATGGCACCGGCTATAGAGGACTATAAATCCCAGCAATACATTATACAGCAATGCAGAATGGCAACTGGCTATAGTGGACTACAAATCTCAGCAATACATTATACAGCAATACAGAATAATACCACCAGCTATGGAGGACTACAAATCTCAGCAATACATTATACAGCAATGCAGAATAATACCACCAGCTATAGAGGACTACAAATCTCAGCAATACATTATACAGCAATGCAGACAAATACCATCAGCTATAGAAGACTACAAATCCCAGCAATACATTATACAGCAATGCCAAATGGGATAGGCTATAGAGGACTACAAATCTCAGCAATACATTATACAGCAATGCAGAATAATACCACCAGTTGTAGAGGACCACAAATCCCAGAAACATATTATACAGCACCGCAGAATACCACCACTTATAGAGAATTACAAAGCTCAACAATACATTATGCATCATTGAATTATAATAGTATATGAATTTTCTAAATACTCTGTGCTGTCACTCTGCTCCGGGGTGGTGGCCTGATGTCTCAGGCGAAGGGTCTCAGGAGGGGTGCAGAGGGTCTGAGGAAGGGGAGATATGCAGGCCGGCTCTGTAAACAGGCACCGCGTGGTTCTCCAGGAGTCTACCGCGAGGTCCCCAGCAAGTACAGGACCTCACGGCAGCTGCTTCGATGTAAAAATTCAAAGCAGCATCAGTTTTGGGTATCAGGGCATTTTTACAAGTACTCATGAAAATGCCCAGCATCCGCATCAATACCAACACTGGTATCAGTGCATCCCTATTCTTTTCCTATGTTGGATAATCACAGACAATATTCACACAATGCATTGTGAAGATTCTGAACTCCATTGGTAAATCAGCCTCCACCTATCAGCCTCTTAGAAGGGCATTGTTTTTAGGCGACTCATATATAAATAGGGGTGTATTTAAAAACAATTCACAGAGCCGTTCTGCCCCAAAATCTCTGTGGTAATAGAGGCAAAAACAAGCGTTCTTAGTATATTTTCTGTAAGCTCTCACAGGCAGGGCCTTCCTTAACATCCTGTCTTCATTTGTATTGTAAGTGTAATGTCTTCCTTATATTGTAAGGCACTGCGCAAACTGGTTGCGCTATATAAATCCTTTATAATAATAATAATAATAATAGTATTAATAGTGCACTATGTAATACCACATTATGGCCACCAGATGGAGCTGAAGAGCACAGGTAATCCATATTTTCCAATAGGCTGGTGCTAGTGTGCATTGGGGGACAATGGAACATGTTGCATTTAAAGGATAAGTTCACCTTTTGCAAAAATTAAAGGAGAACTATGACATGAGTGATTTCCACTCACGTCATAGTTCTAAGCCGACCTGTGACAATGAGACTGTCACAGGTCGGCTCAGTAGATCGGGAGGTGAGCGAAAACATACCGGGTTCGCTCACCTCTCGATCCTGTCACGGCTCTCTGCCGTGACAGGGGGAGGGGCTGGATTCCCCTCTCCCCGCTCCGATCTGCCAGCGCTGACTGGCGGAACGGACGGGGGAGGGGGCGGGTACAGCTGGCTCTGCCTCTAGATAGGCAGAGCCAGCTGTCACTCACGCAGCTGGGCGGATCCCGTCATCTAAGTCGGGATCTGCTCCAGGTGCGGCGTCTCAGTATACAGCGAGCTGTAGCTCGCGGTATACTGAGCTTAGGGTGACGGGAGGACGCTAGTTTGTGTCCTCCCGTTACCCCAAGGAGAACTATGGGGAAAAACACTGACCCCATAGTTCTCCTTTAAAGAAATGCATAATTAATAATATATTTAAGAAAATATGCATTTCTTTCATTTTTGCATTCAAGCCTGGAAAGCATTGCAATAGTGATCACTCGATCAGGGCTGCAAAGCTCAGGCTTCTGCACATTCTCTCCCAGCTCGTACTGAGGTATTGAGTTTCAGTTAGGAGAGATGCAGCCCTGATCGACTGATCACAGTTACAATGCTTTCAATTGCAGGCTTGAATGCAAAAATTAAAGAATTGCATTTTTGTAAAAAAAATTATTAAATATATATTTCTTGAATTTTTGCAAAAGGTGAACTTAGCCTTTAACCAGTGGCGTCACAAGTGGGGTGCGGCCCGCACCTGGGTGCCACCATTGCAGCGGTGACACCAAAATGACTGACAGTCATTTTGGTGTCACCCCCTCTAAAAAGTCGGGCACTCGGTCAAACACGTGCGAAGTGACGTCATGTGCGCGCGCGAGTTGACGTCACGCGCAATGACAACACCAGGCCTCGGGACGCCACTGCCTTTAACCACTGCAGAGTGGAGGTAGCCACGTCCAGCCGTCCTCGCTCTAGGTAGAGCTTTCCATATTCCCGCATCTACCTAGAGCGAGGACGGCTGGACGCTGTATGAGGTGATTTAATGCAGTTTGAAGTCCAGCCGTCTTTCCCCCATCTTTCCTAACTGAAACTCCGTACCTCAGTACGAGCTCTGCCTGGGAGAGAATGTGCAGAAGTCTGAGCTCTGCAGCCGTGATCGAGCGATTACAATTTTAATGCTTTCCAGGCTTGATTGGAAAGATTAAAGAAATGCATATTTTTTATATATATTATTAATTATGCATTTCTTTAATTTTTGCAAAAGGTGAACTTATCCTTTAAAAGCAGTGCAATGTGCTTCTATAGTTCAACGCATCAAAATGCACCAGAATGTGCGTTAAAGAAAAATAATGGGGGCAATTTATCAAATCTGGAGCAGAGAATTCCCCTCAATGTATTTTGGCTCCGGCTGTAAACCAAAAAACCCCCACACGTGTTATAAACATGCAAATCAACCCAACCCAACGCATAACAAAAACAAATGTCAATATGCGTCAACTTGAGTGCATTTAGCGCTGATCAGTGCAACAGAAGTGGTGTGAATCCAGCCTCAGACAGGCTGATCCTCCTCATCTGATGGAATATATCTGAAAAGGAAAGCCGCACTGAGAAATACGCCCCGAGCTAAGGTGACCATACACCTTACAACCATCGCAACGACTTTCATCCTGCGATGGTTGTAAGGTCATTGAAAGCTCGTACGATCTGCCCATCTTGGACAGGCAGATCGTACTTGCGATCATCGCATGCCCTCCCTGCCGAGGGGAGGGCTTCTGATGATTCCAATGCTGAGTGGGCAGTGTGCGCTTGCGCACACCGGCCCGTGCAGCATTAGTCGCCCAAGGACGCCAGTAACCCGCCAAGAATCGTACGATTTTCAAGCCTGCTCGGGAGACAAAAGACAAAACGGTTGCACGCTTTCTATACAACTGCCGAATATGGGCACCTTCAGTGTTCCACAGGCACCTTTGGTGTTCCATTTTATAAAGCGCTGCACAAATTGTTGGCGCTATTTAAATCCTGTATATTAATAATAATATACCAGCCCACTGGCTTCCATCCTTCCTAACTCACCAACCCCATAACAAGCAGAACAAAAATTCAGGGTGGAGTCAGAATTCCTGTCCTGCATACCTATCCCAGATCAGTGCTACTAAAAGAAGTGAAGTCAGAGGATCAGCATGACAGCCAAGCAACTTGCACTTTCACAATGACAGGTCAGCAATGGCAGCCTTCATACTGTCATAGGTGTCCTGTAAACCTGTCCTTATAAGCCAGTAAGAGCTGCCAAGTAATCACAGTGGGGGACAACAAGGTGGAGCAGTGCTATGTACTGGCTGGAGACTAGTGGCCATAGCGAATGCACAAAGCGGCACAGCGCGCATGCGCAGCACACCCTGCCGTGTAGTTTGTGGCTCCGCCCCCAGGTCAGGACTCCGGGAGTAGCAGCTGGCTGCAGGCAAGTAACTTTTATCTCCTAATAGTAACAATTCTGTCCGTGTGTGTTCCGGTCCCGGGCTGAGCTCCCCCGTCACCCCACCACAGGTGTCCCCCAGGGGAGGCTGTGGCCACTGGGGGCCCCTGTCATCTCCTCTGGGTGCGCAGCATGTGATATGTAAAGTTTTGCAATTGCCTGTTGTGTGTTTCCTGCATTGCACAGTTCGTGCTGATTCAGTGTCAGTGCGTCCAGTATGATGGCAGTGCTCACAGCACAGGTGCTGGATACTAGTACAAGTGCAATGCACTGATAAGAAGCCGGGGGGGGGGGGGGGGTGAGCCAAAGGGTGAATAGGTGCATAGGTGCATAAGGCAAGTGTATGGTGACCCTTCCTTCTTGTATAGCCAGAGCCGGCACGATGAAGGGCAATATGGTGCAACACTGTCCTGAATTTAATTGCCCCCCACGGCTTATATATACCGAATATTATTACCCCCCCTCTATAGTAAGGGGCCTGGTCACCAGTGAAGTGAACCTCCATTCACACGTGAGCGGTTTTAGGCGAATTTGTGTTATTGGCCCCATTGCCAACTGAGTGGTTTGCAGCTTTACCGGACGCGCTTCAATGCTCGCCACTAGGATTTCCATTCAGTGGTGTCTCTCCGCGCTGATGCTTGAAACTCGTCGCTCTTAAAGGTACATGAGCTCCTTGTGGGGCAGAATCACGAGTCAGCAGGGTCACCAGAACTATTTTTTTTTTTAATTTTTATTTTTTTTTAAGTCTGCGGTGCGTGCTTCGTAAACGACTTCCCCTGTGAACAAAAAAGTGAAACGTGAAATCACAACACACAAAAAAAGTGCACGAGGGTGCTGTGGTCCTCCTCCCAAGAGGAAAGGCCTCGATAATCCCCCCCCCCCAGGCAAGGAAGACTCTGGTCCACTTACTCGAAGGCCAGCAGACCCCGATCCTCAAGGTCCTACCGAAGTAGGACCCTCAAGTACTACCGTAGGTAAGGGGCTCACCCGAAGGGAGACCCCTCCCAAGTGGGGGAAGGCAGAGAAGCCCGTGAAGGCCACAGAACCTCCCCCCTAAAATCAGGATGGGTCCCAAAGGTACCTGCACCCTCCGTCATCTGTGCATTCATGCATAAATAAAAGGTGCCAGTGCACAGACCTGGCAGGCTATCCGGCCAAGGTTTAAAAATTGCCCCGGGCTAGCCAGGAGGCCTGCCCAAGAGGCGTGGTGCAGAAAAAGCTTTAGGTGCCGTGACCTACTGCAAATGAATCACAGTGGGGTCGTAGTAGTAGTCACCATAACTAGTGTTCCCATTGGGGAGATTTCCCTTTTACTTCCTGTTCAATAGTCGCAATAGGAAGAAAGAGAAAATCCCTGGTGGTCAACAGAAATAGTGTCCATACTGAAAGGTTTCCCATCTATTCCTGTTCTGGTGACAACCCAAAATTTCAGTGAGGTTTTAGCTTCAGTTGCACTTTTAGGCCCCGTTCCCACTGCGCGATTTGCATATTTGCGCGACATCGCGAGATTTGCCGCGCGATGTCGCGTTCAAGCTTGCATTGAGCAGGCTTGAATCGCGGCTAAATCCGCTCCAAAAAGGGTCCTGCTGTAGCGACACACGACCCGCGACAGCAGGACCCTTTGCCCCATTGGATTGCATTGGAGCGCGATATCGCGCGGTAATTTGCCGCGCGATAAATCGCTCAATGTGAACGGGGTCTAAGCTGGCTGTACACGGTGGTTGGGGCGGAGCTTAGCTATAGCATTATGTTGGCATGACGACGAACTGCTGTGTGGACAGCTTAACGGCCATGACATTGGTGCGTGCCCGCTCCAGCTGCATACTCCCTCATTGTAAGTGTTTTCTGAATTGTTATGGCGGGAAAGCAATCACAGGGATGGGAGGCTCTTCTGTTGTGAGGCGCTTGCTTTATGTCTATATAAGTGGTGATGTCTGTGGTATACTTTGTCATTCTAAGCTTGATGAAGGGGACCCTGTGAGGCCCCAAAAGCGCTTGCATGTATGACAAATATGTGTCTAGGGATGCACCGATACCGGTATTTTGGTACCGAGTACCGATAATTTTTTTTCGGTACTCGCCGATACCAATTACCGAGTAACGGAAGTCCCATTTAGGAAGCCAGGTGGCGTGTAATGACTCGCCACCAGGCTTCCCGATCAACAAGAAAGTCTGTCCCCTCTTACCTTGGTATGTCCAGCCTGTCACCCCCGGGGTCTCTCCAGCCAGAACGCGGCCTTCCTCCGGTATTCAGCCGGAGCCGGCTGGCCGGCCAATCAGGAAGCCGGGCGCCGTGTAATGACTCGACATCCTGCTTTCTGATTAGCCGGGAGGCTGGCTCCATTCTCCCTCTTTATGAGATGACGAGGGAGCATGAAGCCAGCTTCCCGGCCAAATGACTTTCTTGGACTTCATGTGGATACAACGGAAACACGACCGTGGACACGACGGAGACTGTGGATGCAACGGAGACATGACAGAATGGAGGCACAATTGAGATAAGACTGTGGACACCACTGGGACACGAATAGGATGATCTGTAATAATCGGGATGCTGGAGGATGAGATTCTCTTCTGTCTATCCGGAGCCCCGACTCTCACATTACACATTGTTACCAGTGTCTCCCTTATTTCCTTCATGGAGGAACATGTTTTGTGTCCAGGGAATATTGCTGGGAATGGATCGGATCAGGGATAGGTATAGAACTGCAGCTAACGATTATTTTTAAAATCAATTAGTTAGCCTATTGTTAAGTTCGATCGGATAAACAATAAAATAAATTTTTTAAAAATGGCTCCAGTGATGGGACTACTAGTTTGTATTGAGATTGTAGTCCATCACAGGAGCAAGCTTGGAGAGGTGCAAGTAAAAAAGAAAAAAAAAAGTGTGGTGTGCCGCCCCAACAGGGGCATAGAATATGAGATGCATAGCCTAAGTTAATATTAGCATTGTTATATAGGTTAGAATTTATATAGTGTGATTTGCCTAACTATTTTCTCATAGCTAACATTGAAAGCGTTGACAACTTTTTCAATAATCGATTCTAATCGATTTAGTCGATTAGTTGTTGCAGCCCTAGATAGGTGCAGCATACGTGTCTATTGCTTCCTATTTCTCTAATGTTTATGCATAGCAGACTTCACAAAGGCTACACATGTGTGGAAGTACAGAAAGTATTTTGTTTTGTAAAGAGAGGGGGATGGAAAATCTCTTCCATTTTTTTCCTGTCTGCCTTTTGGGTCGATTTTCATTTTCACTTCCTGTCACACAAACGCATCAGGAAGTGAATGGCGACCAATACAAAGGAAGAGAAATCTTCTCCTAATGTGTCTTACGACTTTTGGGATAAGGCCGTCTTTATATTTGTTACATGTTTTTCATTCACATAGCAGAACATATCTGTCTGAATGCCTGAACAGTGAGTGCGGCTGATCGGATGTAGTAACCAATCAGCTTCTCTTTCATTTTCAAATCGCGCAGTGTGAATGGGGCCTTACCTGGAGAAGAAATTACACCAGGATGCACTATGGGAAGAAGGCAAACCGGCAGAGGCAGTGTGATGCTTTGGGCAATGTTCTGCTGGGAAACTTTGGGTCCTGCCATTCATGTGAATGTTACTTTGACACAGACCACCGACCTAAACATTGTTCCTGACCAAGTACACCCCTTCATGGAGACGGTATTCCATGATGGCAGTGGCCTCTTTCACCAGGATAATGTGCCCTGCCACACTGCAAAAATGGTTCAAGAATGGTTTGAGGAGCACAACAACGAGTTTGAGGTGTTGACTTGGCCTCCATATCCTCCCGATCTCAATCCAATTGAACATCCCTGGGAGTCCGATCAGTGGAGGCCCCATCTCGCAAATGACAGTACTCAAAGGATCTGCTACTGACGGCTTGGTGCCAGATACCACAGCACACCTTCAGAGGTCTAGTCCATGCTTGGACCGGGTCAGGAAAATGGGGACCTACTCAATATTAGGCGGGTAGTCATAATGTTATGGCTGATCGGTGTACACTCCATTCAAGGTCTCCACATGGCAGCGTTGAGTTGCAGTGACCTGCAGTGCCATCCAGTGCATCACAGACAAATGCAGCATGTTTGCACCACACCCCCAATGCGAAAGGGGCGCACAGGAAGCAATGGTTTGCTATGTGTCCTCTCGGTGACCGGCATTGATCCATAAAATAAAGCACAGGTCACCTCAGTATGTTCTTCCTACTGTGTATTAAAGCCAAGGCAGGTTAGATGACATAGTCAGGCTACCAGAAGCATTGTGGGTGTTGCACATTATCAGAGATTGCTCGTTTTTGTCACATGCATAACTTAATCACCTACAAAAATGTCATTTTCTTGACTTTTCTACAAGGCCCGGAGCCTCTCTGACTGGCTTTATCCTCTCGATGTATTCCAAATAACAGGATCCAGATCTGGTTTGACATGTTCAACTTCTTATCTAGCAGCTCTGTGAGATCTGGAATCTGCTTCCGTCATGTGACACGGAATTGGCAGCGTGATAGCACACCTGACACATACATAATAACACAAAGTGAACATAAGAACCTTCATTTAGTTCAGGTATGGTTACAAAGTTGGGGAATGGCTGCTTCTTTATATGACATTCCCTCCGTATTGTGCTGGAATTTCAGCTCTGGATAACAAATTGCGATCTTTATTAGCTTCTGAATTGAGAGAGAAGGGGGAGAGCAGGAGTGATTGACACGTCACAGTGTCTGCAGATTCACCTGTGCAGCTCAGAAGTAATATTTTGGTTCTAGGTGGAGCTCAGTGGGCGGAGTCGGCCCCTGGCTTCTTATATAAAGATCTCCTGGCTATAATTCCCGGGTCTCTGCTCCTGTCCACCTCAGAGGTTTGGGTTTTACTCCTGTTACATTCTCCATAAATAAAAATCCAACAGGGATGGTGGGAGCCCCTCATAATGGGCACAGCAGGAGTACAGACCCGGGAACTCCGCACAGGG